TTTGCAATAAAAACATAATTTAAACTATATCATAGAATTAAGTAACAGAAATGGGCCTCATAAAGACTATTTGACACGGTACAAATTCAAGACCTACAGAAAATAACTCAAATGTAGATTCCATGACAACAGAATCCATATTATTACAAGCTTAGTACTCTTATTCCATACTTAATTACTTTACATTGTAAATTAAGATTTCTATCCCACCAAATTACTTCACAACTGTGATAATTTTTATTCCTGTAATGTGCCCCTTCTGGTGACTGTATCCCTTTAAGGAGGTCTATCAGTCTCCAACACTGTTCTCTTCTTGCCTCTTTTTTGCATTCCAGCCTATCTGACCACCTGCTTTTTCCATGTTAGTTTGGTGTAAATTCTAGTAAGAGGTCTGGTTTCTGCAGCCAGGATGCAGGTCAATTCCTGCAGAGTCTGAGGTCTGTGAGAGGCAAACTCTTTTCCTTTTACAGCCCCATTTTAGCCAAAACTTGTTTTTTCATGGAATGTTTATTGAACTCCTTTAGTCTAAACCACCTCCACTTGTATGGTTGGATATCACACCTTTTGGGTATCCCAATTATGTATCTATCTCACCTCTACCACCATTTGTACATTTGTGGTAGGGGTAGGCTTTTTTACACATATCCAAGTAAGTGGGCTCCAAAATCTAAGAGAGCCAATACACCAGTGTTCTCAATCTTTTTAGACCGGCGACCCCAGTCATAAGCAGGTGGTGCGCATGCGTGGCGCCGCCCCCTGCGCGGCAGCACCCCCCATGCGCCGCCCCCTGCGTGGTGCGCATGCACGGCGCCGCCCCATGCACCGGCTGAGAAAAAAATGGCGGATCGCGTTGTTTGGCGACCCCCATGAAATGGTCGTTCGACCCCAAATGGGGTCGCGACCCACAGGTTGAGAACCACTGCAATACACAGAGCTCAAAGGCTAGTATTCACTGCTCCCTACTCCACTCTTTCCCATTTCTACACCTCCTCCTACTGCTGCTGCTCCTCCAATTATTATTTATAAGTCCTAGTGGTAAAGAACAGAGTATCTGCTTAGGCTGCTTTAGGTATACACACACACACAGCCCTCCCCCACACCATACCCAGCTGCCTCTGCTCAGTTTTATAAGTAACAATTGCTGTGCTGGCTAGGGAGAGGCCTTAAAGAGACAGGACAATAGCAGCACAGGTGCTGGCTATTTTGTAGGATGTCTGTCCTCACATCTTTCAGTGCTGGACTTAAATTCTGAGAATTTGCAGAGACCACAACGAGCCAGTGTTCCAACAGCTGAGCAAGAGAAGTGTGTATAAACTAGCATTTACACTAAATGGAAATAAAGCAAACAGCCTTTAATTGTTTAATTTCTATAGGTGTCCAAAAGCCTAACAAACTTTAATGCAGTGGTTCTCAACCTGTGGTCGGGACCCTATTTGGGGTTGAATGACCATTTCACGGGGGTCGCCAAACAACGCAGTCCGCCATTTCCCCCCCCCCCCTTTTCTTTAGCTGTGCTACTCCCTTTTATTCTATTGGCTTTTGAAAGCCAATAGAATAGACTCTCTTGAATAGAGTCTAATTCTATTGGCTTTCAAAAGCCAATAGGAATTGTCCAGGCTGTCTCTGTCCTGCTGAGCCCGCCAAAAGTCCCATTCTGCAAGCGGTGCTGCACCAGTTGAGTAGTCCTCGACTTACGACCGGTTGAGTAGTCCTCGACTTACAACCGGTTGGGGGTCGCGGCATTAAAAAGGTTGAGAACCACTGCTTTAATGGCATCTCACCATTTTTAGAACCATGTGATTTTCTCAATAATTACAATTAATTACACGTTGCTGTGGTAGCTGAAATGGAAGAGACCTAAATGAACGGAAAACTCAGGGTGGGATGAATTTAGTTCTACTCAAAGTAGATCCCACTGAAATCCATAAGACTAACATGTTTATTTCATGAGTACAATAACAACTTCAAGTACACTGGCTGAATAGTAATTACAGAACAAGACTGCATTGCCCATTAACACTGCTTTTGTAAGAATCTTGTTTTAATCTTTTTAATGGATTTCAATATTTTTTGAATTCCGTTTTAACTTTGTTAACTGCTATAGGATTCTCTTGCAAAGAGAGTGGTCAAGAAATAAGTCTAAGCATCCTAATAAAAAGTACGGGCAAGTTTGGCTTCAACCTATCATAGTAAAAGAGGCTGGGTGATGGTGGTGGTGAAGAGCAAGATACAAACAAACTAGGCAAAAACCAACACTTGTCCGAATGCCTCTGGCAGCCACGAGTAAATAACCATTATGCAGCCACGTTTCCTGCGGGAAGAAAGCCTAGAAACTGCAAGGGGCGACCCTTAACGGCTAATGGAGCACCCAAATCCCCTCCGCACCTGAGTTTTGACCAAAGGCCTGGCTGGCTCTGCCACCACGTGGATGCTCATACCAGCATCTATCACCGAAACGGCAGTTGCCCTGTAAGTAGTAAGAGCAAACCCAACCAGAATTACGAGCCATGAGAAGGCAACGTCTCACCACCGCCAATACAAGTTTCCCGCTTTGCTTCCACTACCGTATCCGCTCCGCAAGATTTTCTCCAGGGCTAGGCAGTATTTATAGTACGGCTTGGGCGTGCCTTGGCACGCAGTAATCAGGGCGTCTAATGATGACGTAAAGACGACAAGTCTACCCTGGCGGAAGTAAATACATTGGCAGATTGCCCTTCAACATTGTAAAAAGTAATTGGTTTTTTAAAAAAATCTGATTTTAGATATCTCATTACATTTAATTAAAAAGAACAGGCACCCGAATATATAGTGATAAGAATTTAATGCGCCTTTGAAGGCGACATTCAGCAGGAAGTCTCTGTATTGTGCCACTAATACCAATCCCACTTTTATATTTTGAAATTAGAAGGGTTGAGAAAATGGGGAAGAAAGACCTATCTTTTACACAACATGCTCCTTCATAAACTGATTAAACTTTTTAATGCCTAGCAACCAAACAGATCTTGGTTGGTTACAAGTTTTGTGATGTAGAAATAGTTGCATATATTTAATTGAATTTAGAAGTTACAAATAATGGAAGAATAATGATTTGTATTTAATTCTGGATACAACAAAAACTTTTTTGTTCTGGTAGAAACATTGTAAGTCTGAAGTAGTGCAATCTTGGATTTATTTGTGTTCATCCTTTTGATTAACAAAATTGAAAGATTGATTCATTTTACTCCACATGATCATGTTTTAATGGGTGGTTTTTTAAACTGAGTTTCCCTTTTTGTTTTGTTAGTTTCTTATTTCATATTTTAAATAACATATTACTGGTTCTTATTTCTTACCAAAGCAATGGCATTTATTTAACAAGTAGTTTCAGTGTTTTATCATCATTATGACTTTTGTCCCCTTTTGCTTTATCTTCCTTGGAGGCTTCAAATGATAATATGCTAGTAGCACAGTAGTAGATATGTAGTAGTGGATTTTGGCAACTATAATGTTTTCTATGAAGTTGTAATTGTAAAATGTCTATTTCATCACAACTATTGAAGAGTTAGGCTCTTATTTTCTAAGTGTAGCCACTGTTAAATTATAATTATGTCCTAACAGACAGTTGAAGATACGTTCCTCCTCTATTTTCTCCACAACAATCCTGTGAGGTTGGGCTGAAAGTAACTGGCCCAAAGTCACCCAGCCAGCTTTAAGCTAAGGCTGGACTTGAAATGACAGTCTCCTGCTTTTTAGCTGGTGCCTTAACCATTCAATCAGTTGGCTTTCCCTTGTCACTTTTATTTTCAGGAATGCTTTTAGATCCAAATAAAAATACTAGGCAATTATAGTTTTATTAAGTCCCTCATTTTGAAATGTTAAGCAAGATAGTGACAGAGCTTCATGGAAAATAGTAGTTGTGGAAGATGCTTTATGGTTTGCAGGGAGGGGTGATGTTCGCCATTTTTCATTTAGTGTTTTGTCAGAAATATTCTGTGGTTGGTGCTTCAACTCTTTTTGATTATCAATCTGTATTTTGTGAAACTGATATAGTACTATGCTGTGATTTTTGAAATCAAATATTAAAATAATTTGGCGTAAGTGATCTTTGAATTTATGGTTTGTCTTCTATGAAAATTATTGGAGTAGGAAACTCTTCAAAATAGTAGAGTGCTTCCCCTCCCCCATCTTTGTGTTTTTAAAATAAAGTTATTTTGCCTTCTAGGAAAATGTTTTGGAATAGCTATATCCTTCAGGCACATACTTTGGTGCAGCAATCTAATACTGTCTGAATTCACGCATACTAAGCCACAATGTAATCTGCTTTGTTTTGGCTTAGCATATTTATGAACCTATGATTAGTGAAACCCAAGTTTGCAATATATGTGAGATTGTATGGCAGGTGGCTCCCGAAGATTAAGGACCATTGAACGGAAAGAGGTTCCTATATTATAATCTTGCCAAAATAATCTCCATATTACATCTTGCATGTGATCCAAAAATCACAAATCAGTGACATAGATGCTAGAATCTGCTCATCTCACAAACTAGTTCGGGGCATCCTTAGAAAAAGCTCTACCCAAAACAGTGGGCTTCAACCATTAACATATTTGTCAAGTCTTGTACTATTTAACAATTTTCTAAGTGTATGGGACATAGTTTAAAAAAGGACTATAATTTTTTATTGCTGCAACAGAATGAGAACCAATAATAGAGTTTTATCTTTAACTTCACTTTACTGCCTGACTCCAGGTGACTTCTGGATGGCTCATAGTACAACAAACGAACAAAACAAACGATAAAAACAGAGCCAGACTAGAAAAGAAAAAGAAAAAAAAAGATGGTGAATCCACCAGACCATAGCACCAACATTTGGGGGAATGGGGAAGCTTCAGCCACCTTTGGTTAAGGCCAGAAGAAACAGTCAGGTCTTTAAAGTGGTCTAAAATGCCATTGGGGTATTATTTAATGGATAAAGATTGCTTAGACTGTTGATAAGACAAATAATAAATAAAAACAACACATTTTTAGGAACAAATATTTAATAAAATTAACTGACCACAAAAGCCTCACTGAGGTATTTGCTTCACTTTCAAAATTCTGATACATAACAAAATTATTCAGTATACAAGATTTTTTAATAGATGCCCAGCAATACACAAAATCAAAACTTTCTGCACATGTTCATAAACTAAGACCTCACAATGAAACAAATCTGTCACTTTCTGCCTAGAAAAATAACATAGAGAAATGTAAACCTATAGAAAATGATACAACTTGCATTAGTTTATATTGGTTTTATGAAACTGTCTCTGTTTCATAAAAGAAATAAAGGAGTCTTATTTGTTAATGAGCTAGATTAAATTCCTTCTTGCATTTTCATTGTTTGAAAATTACTTATTTTATTTTTTGACAATCTATTAATTGAAAAAAAATGTACCTCAGTTTGCTTAAGAATTTGTTTTTAAATCCAACTTGAGTTGTTAGAAAATTAAATTTATATCCCTCCTTGCAAGCATACAAAGCTATTTAAAGTACTGTTCAGATTTTCATGACAAAAAGCCAATACTAAGAAGATACACAAAGATATACCTTGATCAATATAGAATGTTTCAATTTAGAAGAAATTAGTCTTTCTCTCTCTCTCTCCCCCCCCCTTAACTGCAAAAATATGTAGAGAAAAATTAGGCAAAGCAATGTATGTTTATACCCCAAAACGTATTATACGTAAGTGCTATCATTCAACTTTCTCATATGCAGGTTTATAAATGAGTACTTTTAAAGTACATATACATTATAGTTTTGAAATCTTACTGCAATCTTATTGATATGTAAGAAATGATTATGAATTTTTATAAGTAGCTTGAGGAAAGGAAATCAGATCAAAACTGTGCATATTTTAAGTAGCATAGAGTTTAATTCATAAATAAAAGACAAAAATAAAATGGATTGCAGTTAAGGACAAAACTTTAAAAACAGAAGTTGCAAAAAAACATTTCTGAAATTTTCTACTGCAATATCCCTACCTTTCCCCATATGTGCATATATAAAGGACTGGTTTTTATTCTTAAATTCACAAACACTTACTTGCAAATAAAATAAATTTACCATAGTATTTTGTTTATACCTGTAATATTTCAGAAAGTAGATGTACTTATCAAAAGCACAGCTCTTATATGCATGATTGAAAGAATATACTGGAACTACACTCCAGAAAATAAAACTTTGTATAGATGGAATTAAGAATGTCTGTTCAGGAAATTATTTGCCTCTACTTTGACACCACTTTGGTTACGTGGTACAAGTATTTAAAGAGAAAATGGCCATGTACAATAATACTTTTTTATTAGAGTAAATTAAGTATAGAGAGAAGATTAATAGTACTGGAGTTAATTTAATTATTTCAATTATCGGAAACAAAATCACAGAACTTGAATTCTGTGATGAGGTGGCATCCTGAACACAAGTTTGAGCAACATATAGCTTAATAGTTTGTTTTGCAAGTTTCCTACTTGAAAAATGTAAGTGCTTTTAATAAAAAATGAAGATTGATGAAGAGGTTATTCTTGAAATAATTTGCAATGCATATTAGACAGTTGTTTTTTTGAAAAAAATTATATGTGCATCTTCAGAAATTTTCATTTCTTTTCAGTCCTGGTTTAGAGAAATTGAAATAATTCCAATGCATAGAAGGGAGTATTCAAATGAGAAAACCCAAATTATATAAACAGTTGAAATAATAAAATGACAGTCCAATTTTTTTCTACATTCAGTTCACATTATGGACTGGCAAGACACAACTGAAAGGTAGAACAAAACAAATAGCAATCTCTTTCAGGAGTACTTTTTGATAATCCTAAAGTTTTTAAGTTTCTAATGTTTCCTCATTTGCTCCACAAGTATCAACTACACAAATTAAACAGCTGGTCACAGGAAAAGCACGAACTTTAGAGTTTGCTGTCCATTTGTCAATTTCAGTATTATATTCAAGGATGTGCCCCAAGCGACCCACACCCTGAAATCCAGCTAGAACATAAATTGTGGAACCCACAGCAGCACATTTTACCGTTACACCTTTCCATGACATTGGGGAAACCATCTTCCATTCATTCAGTTTAATATCATAGTATTCCACACTGTCTAAGCCACCTTTACAAGGAAGAAAGAAAATAATTATTAAGCCAATATAACTTTGTCATCATTTTAGGATTAAAACTTTTTTCTAAGAAATTAAAAATATTTTACCAATACATTATGTTAATTGAGTGGTTTAAATGAACATTTAGTTTACTATAGAAATAGGTAAAAATATATAGGCCCTAGAGATGAAAAATAACTTTCGAACTATATAAAATTGATGAAATAATTATTGTGAAATAATATTTTAATATCCTGAATATGTCTTTAGGGTTTAATAGAACTTACTTCTAAGAAATAGAAGTATATAGCCTTAAAATCTTAAATGTTTAATGTTGTAAAGGAACTTCATTTAAAAATTCTATTATTTAAAATTAGGAATATTGATAGATTCATGCCTGAGCTATGCTTCATCACGAATACAAAACTTCCATAAGTAGTGAGGATATAAGAAAATGTAATCATAAAGCCACAAAATTATTGAAATTGTACTATTTATCTAAATTGTACTAACTTAGCTTGTTAACTAAGTTCCACAAATTTATCATTCTTATTTCCAGATAAATATGTATAGAACTGCAATATAAAAGACTATTTACAGGATACATTGGAAATATAAAGTACATTTAAAAAATGAGTATCACAAAACCTGCAAATTAATGAATATGTATTTAATTTATATAAGAAAGGTTTAAGAAAGGTTAGGAATATTAAAATTAAAACTATATTTTGTTAATTTGTTAGGAATATTATCAGAATATGGCTACAGATATTATAAATAAATATTTTAATCACTATTGTGTAATTAGCATCTGCTTTTTATTTACATAGTATCATATATTTATCTTTAGTGGCATATGGCTGTTGTCCTTTTTGAAAAGTTGACATTTTAACTTATCATTAATATGAAAAAAACTCAGGGATAAAGGAGATTTGATAGTTCCTGTTTATAGAGAATCAGGATGGGGTGATTTTAGGGAACTACTTTCTGTTGCATTTAAGCCTTCTGGTGTTTAACAATATTTTTCCACTTATGTCAATCTGCTTGAAATATTGTGACAGCTCTTTAAAGCCTATACTGCAAGCATCAGTCTTTATCTTTCAGAAAGCAGAACTTAGAATTTTATTTAATTTTAATACTGCAACAGTCCATATAGCCTCATGGCAGTTAGGTAGAATAAATTATTAATACATACCTAAGCTATTTTGCCCCCCTACAGCAAATATTTTATCTTTCACAACCACCAAACCATGGTTCTTTCGGGCTTCAAGCATTGGACATAGCTCAGTCCACCTGCAAATATTTAAAATGCACAATTTCATATCATATTTTCCTTTACATTAAATGTGATCAAGACTTAATGAGAAATGTTATAATTAGCTGTTAGTTCTCTTATCTCAATAAAGCCCGGCAGATGAGTTGCAGCTCCACTTAAAATGGAGTGTGGTTCTTTGGTGGCTCTTTTACATTTTCCTCCCCAAATAAGAATAAGGTAATTTCAGTGTTTTGAAGGGCGAGTAAACAGCTTTGAAATCAAACTTTTCTACCATTTCACAATGTAAAAACCCATTGCTGATAAAAGCTTTTGACAGGGAATAAAGTCAGGACTTACGTTTCCTTTGCTGGATCATAAACTTCACAGGAGCCCAAGACTCTTCCAGAAACATTGTTCCCTAAACTTCCTCCACATACATAAATCAGGCCATTTGCTTCAACCATCCCATGACTACATCGCTGAGTCAGCATATTGGGCTTTGTGTGCCAACTTTCTGTTCTTGTATCATAGCATTCAAATAAATATAAAGCAGAATTTCCTTTAACCAACAAAAACAAAATAGAGTCACTTAGACAATGAGACTATCTGCTTGTTAAGATAATATTCTTAGAAGGCAAATAACATAGACAATAAACTTTCAGTAGAGGTCCAGATTTTGACACACTATTTCCAGGGAATGCTAACTTGACATCTCTTTCTCAATTTTTCAACATCAAATCAGATCAGTTGTATTGAGGACATCTGATTAATGGAAGAAAAAAAACAACACGGTTTTTATTGGAATTCTCAGTAGAAGCACCGAGAAAACAAATGAGCAATAGTGGTTTGTGTGTCCCCTTTAATGTGAATAAAATCTAAGAATGTTTTTGCCATGCTAGCAGGGAGGAAATTTGAGATATGCATGCTGTCCCTTCAGTGACTCAAGGGGCACAGAAAATGACTCTCCAAAGGAAAGTCCAGCGGGAAAATGGCTGTAATTACATGCTACTCCTAAAGCAGAAACCCAGGAAAGAAGTAAAACAGTCTACAACATAATGCTGCTGGGTCACAGCTAATACTGTAGTTATACTGGGTATGTGTCTTGTGACAGATTAGGTTAATTTATTACCATGAGTAATGAGAGAAAATAATGAGGAAAATATTTTTCTTTTTATATTTGGATAAAAGAAATCTATACAAGTGTACACATATACAAGGAAAAATTTCTAAAAATCTAATGAGGAAAATTATCAAAAAGCTTTTTTTTGCAAAGAGCTGTATTTCACATATATCAACACATTAATAAAATCAATGGCATACTCTTATTCAAGTCCAATCAGCCAAGGCTGAGGGCATTAAGTGAAATTTATTTCCAAATAAATATCTATGTACATATAGAAAATAATCCAAGTTGTGAAGTTGTAAAACCTTCAATTCTATCAGAGGAAATATAGTTTAAATAATGCATGTAGTATTGCTGTGCTATCACGTGGATTCAAAATGGGCATAATTGTGTTCAGCGTAATCTAGTTCTTTTAAAAGAGATATTTCACAACAATACAGTAGCAAATGCAGCTTTCCTTTTAAAGTTCCCACAGCCATGTCCTTAAATGTGTCTTACCTACTTCTGAACCACCAGATGTGTAAATTTTACCCTCTGCTGCACATGCTGCAAGGCTGTCCCGAGGAGTTGGAGGACCCAGTTTGGAGTACCAGCTGTCTTTAACAACATTATAGCAATCCATTCGTTTTATAGGGAAAAGCTGGGAACCACCCAAAATATAAACTACATTATCCCAGAAAACACAAGCTGCATCCCTCCGCTTTTCAAACGGACATCGGATGTCTGTCCAGCTGTAATCCTGTATAAAAATAAATCAAAGCCTTATAGAATATTTTCAGCCATGTCCTTCTGCAAAAAAAAAAAGTCTTCAAAGTTTTGAGATTAATATTTTATTTTATTCCACTTTTTGTCAAAGGTTTGAGAGTAACATGAATATTTCTGTTCATGTTATCCTCAGAACATGATATATTGAGAAACCACAATGGACCCTGGAATTTTGCTTGTAAGTCACTGCGGTTGTTAAGTGAGTGACCAGGTGAACTGATTTGATTTTATGACTGTTTTTACTATGGGTATGAAATGAGTCATCATGGGTCATCATGGATATTAAATAAATCATGTGAACTATGTCAGACATGTTCCTAACAATAATATATTTAAAAAGTCTTAAATTGCTATAGCAACCTCAAAATAGAGCTGTAATCTCCCAGTGTATGATTCCTTATGAGTCCAATTTCCCCTGATTTATTTTAGGAAAAACAATCTTTATCTGTTTTGTGCAAAATCAAACGTGTAAACAAAAGATACTATATTAACAGCAAACATCTGCAATTTAAGTATATCCCTCAGCTTTTCACTCCTTTGGTGTACAGATAAACTAGGTTCTGCTTGAAATAAAAGTAATAGTTACCATAACCTAGACCAAAGTCACAAGATGCAGCAATATAAGAGGACACATTAAGTAAAGATATACCTTTATATTGTACATCCAATCCATAACAATTACCTTTGGATTGAAGTATCGACATGATTGTGGCTGTGATCCTCCAAACAAGGCAATACGGTACTCATGCTTTTTCCTTCTTGGACGAGTCCCATCCACCAATTCTTCTCTGTCTTCTGGAGAAAGGAGATGGTATCTCATTCCACCTACACGAAAAGAAAAAAAAATGATTTTGTGCAGTTTAAAGTTACATCTTTTTTTTCCAACATAAGAAGGCATAAGTATTATGTACATTTTTCATATAAGGTCATCAAGTACAAGATGGTATCAATTTCTTCCTTCTATGAAGCACTGTTTATTTCCTCACCTTTCCATGTTCACACACATAATTAAACAGTAGTTTTAATACATGCAGACCTGTCAGGAAGCAAGGCCATAACTTTTCTTTCTTTCCAGTCATTCTGGTAAAGCTGAAGATTCATTACTATCCCATTACTACTGTATAGGGAGCACCAAAGTACCAGACTATCTTGACTTCAAAGGAAAGAAGAGAGGTACTGACTGTGTGAGAGAATATTGGCAAACACATGGATCTAAATCTTTACTTGGACAGTCTATGGAGAGAATTTCACAAGCAAAACACCCAAGACAAAAAAGAAACCACAAGGACTAAGGCAGCATTTTGGATTGCCAAATCTCATGTATGTAGTTCAAGAAGATAATCTCAATTTTGCCTAGAAACAAACTGAAAATGAGAGATGATCTTTAACACTGCCAAGATAGATTTACTATAGTGAATCAACAGTCTGGTTTCTTTGACCTAAACCAGCTGGCTGTTGAAAGATTTAAAGGCAGATCAACATGTAATTCACTGAATTCCTCTAACCTGTAATGAACAAAACTATAACTCTAGCTAACTCATTTCAAGAATGCACAATTGGCATTCTAAAATGTGTAACACGCTTTGTGCAGATAGCCCTAAACAAAACAGCAAGTTTCATTAAACAAATTTCAAAGGAACTATCAAAAACCATTCACAGCAGTGACTGTTACTTGTTTTATGATTAGAATTTGTCAATGTACTGCAAATCATCCTTGTACAAAGCAAGGATGGGACTTCTTAAAAAATGTTTTTGGAATCCAAAGAGAGTCTTGACCTGTGAAATAACGGATTTCCCTGAAAAAAGGACTAGTGTTTGAGAACATCTTTCTGGAAGGAGGGAGCTAGGAGAATTTAAAAGATACTTGGTTTCTTACCCACCCACCCCCAAAGGACAAAATCAGATCTTTTTCAAGGTGTTATTTTTATAGAGTTATGTGGTAAAATAAGCAGCCCATAGAAGGAATCAGTATTAGAATGTTGAAAACTTACTTATAACCATTTTGAGACATTCTGGGTTGTCCTGTATAAGTGGCTCTGCCTGAACAGTTTTACTAAGGAAATTCTTTGAAATTAAAGGAAACCTGACTTTAGCAAGGATATCAACCATGTAGGGCTGACGGTTTGGCTCATCATATTTTAGCCAACGGACAGCAGCATCATAAACCTGGAAATTAAGAAAAGATACATGATTAGACAAATATACATAGCAGTCTATTTTAGAAACGGCAAAGAAAGTATTATTTAAAATAAGAAACTTTAAAGCTCCATTTAAAATTTAACTTTGTTAACTTTGGACCTTTAACAGGAGAAGTTACTATTACCTGAGACATTTTTTTCTTCAGTCACCACTTGTCAATCTCAATTGATGAGTTCTTTTTTTCATACAAAATTGTAAAGAAACTTGGAAAACAAATGTTCATATTAATAATAGCTGTTCCTCATTAACTGCTAACATTAAGAACGTCATGTCCATAAGGAACTTCAGAATTGTGCATCAACTAGAGCCTGAAGGAAGAGCTAGATGTGGAAAGTAAAGTCCAAAGTGGTTTTAGTGATGGTAGAAGTACTTGCAACTGTGACTCCCAAGCTGGAAATGTGGCTCCAACAGATCCCAGGAATGACATCAGAGCTCTATGTCCAGAAGAGTGCAGTGCTGAGAACAGCTAAGGTACTGTGCAGGCTTCTGATAGAAGACCTGACATTGAGGAAGAAATAGGATTTTTTAAAAAGGATTTTTTTTAAAAAAATATTTACCTGATCTTCAGCTCTTACAGTTAGAGTATCTTGGTTGAGGAGATGTGTCACACGTTTAACATCTAACTGTTGAAACTCATCTGTCTTGTACACCTCCGTGAAGTGCTGATGAATATAATCATCCGCAGTGGCCTTCAGTTCTGGGCAGTCAAGGCACTCTGCTAATACACTTATACCTAATGCAAGAGAAAAAAAGAAGTTCTAGATTTGTGAGATATTATATAAAATATGCTTTAGTGCTTTTGAGTCAGTGATGCTTCTTGGCAAATGCCTGGACAAGTCCCTGCAGTTTTCTTGACAAGATTACGTAAGTGATTTGTCAATGCCTGCTTCCTGGGCTGAGAGAAAATGATTGTCCCAAAATCACCCAGCTGGCTTTGTACTAGAACTCAGTCTCCCAATTTCTATGTTTTGAAATATGCACATTTTCAAATCTTAACCAAATTATACATTAAATATATTATAAAATGTTTTCTAAAATATAATACACAGTGGACAAAGTTTTTCATTCCAAACGTTGGAAACCTTAGAATATCTTTAACAGGAGGAAGATGCCTTACCAAGACAATTTGTAGCATCTACTTGCTCTTTTAAAAATTCTACACACATTTTTTTCACAGGTTCAATTTGATATTGATTTGCTGCATCCAACAATGATTGGACATTGTTGCTGTTTACAGAAATTCTGAAAAAAACCAATGTTTACAAAAGTAAGCATTTTAAGAATTATATACATATAAATCCTAGCACATATACACATCTATAAATGACATTTTAAAAAAGCATCCTTGAAAACCTTAACAATTAAAAAAGTAGAGTAATACAGCTATAAAGTTTGCATATAAAGTTAATGTGAATATTTCTTGTAACATTTAAAGTAACATTCTGTGTTAGAGATACTAATATTTGGTACTTGAATGCCCAAGTTAATTACATGAACAAAGTTGTCTAGATTTGTAATTGTAGATGGCTAGCAATAGTGAATATACTTACCTTGCAGTATAAGCAAACTCAACCAGCTGTTCAATTATATCTGGCTCAGCATCCTTTAATTCAACTTCAAATGACTTTGATTCAATCATATTTGCTGCAATTATATAAATATTATCAAGAGTTATTTTTAAAATCTTGCAGAGCTATTATTCTGATCTGTGAATGGGCAAAGTTGTTTCTTTTGGAAGCCCTTCTCAGATGCAGTTCTGGAACACTCATATCCCCCTTTAGGTACTTCCAGCTACTATTGTCCTTCACAAATACTTGTAGCAGTAACCCACATCTATCATACTTATAGCTACCAAGAATTATGGCTCAGTGGACTAAGTAGCAGTACTGTATCAAGCCAGACCCACAATCCCTGTCCTGAGTGAGCTTGTTTTAGGGCAGGAAGAGAAGCTGGATACAAATGAAAGGAGTTGCAAAGTTTACTCTTTCTCAGCTTAGGACATTTATGAGAACATTGTGTACTATAATAGCTTAGCAACAGCAGAAAAGCTGAGGAGATAGAGTAAAGCAGAAGTTCTTACCAGTACAACAATTATGCACCCCCAAGCTCCATACAACATTCTGTTTCAAAGTGAAAGTTCTATCATTCTTCCAGAAGCACAACTGAATCAGAAGTAAATTAGCTCAGCTTCTCAACAGTGGCAATGGCACAGTGATTATTTGCACTTGATCACCTATTTGTGCTCTGTTTAGAAATATCTAGTGATCCAGTCTCACGTAGGATACAACGTTAGGCTTTATCCTGAAGGACTATTTTCATATTCTCCTCACAAAACATACTTTGCTGTTTCCTGCTATCTAAAACTACCCATAGAAAATTATCAATAAATTACGTATAAATGAAGTACTAAATGAAGTCATTAATGTATGGTCTAAATGGGACTGTAGGAGTTATAGTAGTAAGATTTGTTCAATACTAACTGATTAAAATGTTCCCTTTACTTGCAAATCTAGAGATAATATTAAAAGCTGAAGTGGAAAAAAACATACTAGTAAACATCAAGTTAAAAAAGTGACTGGCTGAAGCAAGTACAACCCGATGAGCTGGGATCCTCCTTTCTTGGACTATCAGTATAACATCACATAGTGTTTTCTAAAATAGAACAAAAAAAAGCACAAAGTTATGATACAGAAATATAATATTTCTTATATTCAGAGAAACAGTAGAAATGTTTATTTTCTTCACTAAACTAAACCTAAGCTTGCTACCTGGTGAATTCTGGAAGTTGAACTCCAGGATATGAAAGTTGCCGAAACTGAGAAACACTGAACTATAATTACTACCTGCAGGATAGCATCAGAGCATATTGTATTATCTTCTTTCAACTTAATGTTTAAGGTTAACATAATAGTAATTTATACCAAATGGAACAGACTGGGTTATAGAACCACATCTTAACAATTATTCTAGAATATCAGAATTGCACTTCCTATGTAAAAGAAACAAATAATTACACTCATATAAGAGACTAAGTGATAAACCAAGATGTTCTTAGTTCAAATCCCACCAATTAACCAGCAGCGTTATGAGGACAGCACCAGGCACCCGCCTTCATTTGCCATACTGAAGAACACTGAGACTTGCAAAATAACAAAAGACTGCCAAGTCAACCCCTTCAAATCTGGGTAAGCGTTCCATTCCCTTTTCATAGAGACATTCTACACTAGGAAGACGGCACGTTAAAGACGACTGCGCCTAGAGACTTGAAACTGCCATAGATTTGGTGCCTCGGTTTCAAGCAGGGATCCGACCTTTAGTCCCCACCCCAGTGCCGGGATATGGTTGGACCCCGCAAGGCGACAAGCTCCGCCAAGGCTTCTTTACAGGAGGGCCCAGAGTTCACCCACCTCACCTCTGCCCTCTTTTCCTTGACTTACTTGCTTCCTCATGTTATTCATGACTCCCATGAAGCTGGCCAATAATTTGGCTTCTTCTCGAGCAGCCAGCTTTTTCTCCGTTTTCTTCTTACAGCTTTTATCTGGCACCGATGCCGCCATGCTCTGCTCCCTGTTCTTTTCCACCTTCTGCCTGTTCTTTTTGCCGTCAAGGTAGCGAGGACTTGCCAAACCAACGCGGGTTCACACAAGGCGATAATGCAGGAACCGGCGCGAAGCAATGATCGCTTCCTCAACCTAAGAGGCAGGCGGCCGAGCGGAGGCACTACCGTACTGAGAATCAGCGGACAGCGCAACCACGCAAAGCCGCACCCCCCCCAGCCGCTTTCCACCTTCTTTTTTATGAACACTCTGGCCAATCAGGAGGCAGATCGCGAATATCTCTGCCATCTCTTACAGCCAATCTCGCCGCAAACCAGGATTTGGAGGGGTCGGAAAGAGGAGGGATGTAAACAAAGAATGAGCCAGTGCATGTCGTCATCACGTCCTACTGATATACAGATATTTTTTACAAAAAAGGGGAGGTGGATGATGGGTAGCGAATGTGTGTAAGGAAACTCAGCAAGGCTGAGCTTAGTGAATCTATGTTAAATAGTTCCTTCCTTTTTGGTAAAGACGCGTGCGATCTGGTTTGCTTTCAGTAACCGTGTTTAAATTTTAAAAAACCAGAAAAATTTAAGCATCAATTAACTGGAACAAAAGCAACTGTATTAGACAGATTTTAGATAGCTCAGTATTATATATTTACCCCATCTGTTTTTCTCTAAGAGTTTCACATAGCTTTTGTCTCCAGATTCTTTGGAGACATCAAAGAAAAACTGAATAAAAATAAAAATAAAATGGGATGTTAGGAAGAAAAGCAAATATTTTAAGCACAGTGCTCAGGATTTTTGTCCAGAATGTATTAGGTAAAGTGTTAATACAATTAAGAAATGATAAACAGATTTCAGTAAATTTACATTTATGTATGGTTTTTCTAGAGCAGTGGTTCTCAACCTTTCTAATGCCGCGACCCCATAATACAGTTCCCCATGTTGTGGTGACCCCCAATCACTTATACATCACCGGGTGCCGGGGGCGTGGGCAAAGAAAAGGGGGAAAAAATGGCGGACTGCTTTGTTTGGCGACCCCCGTGAAATGGTCGTTCGACCCCAAATGGGGTCCCGACCCACAGGTTGAGAACCACTGTTCTAGAGCTTGCTTTTAATTATCAATTGCAGCAATTTTCCACCCTTTTAATATCACTGGGTCAGTTAACAAGATGCTTTAATTTTCCAGTGTTTGCACTGAGAGATCTGGCAGATAAATTTCAGAAATTGAATTTCTTTTGTATTGTTAGAAGTAAAGTCTTCATCCTGGTTCATCCAAGCCGGGAATAAATAAGCAAACATGGTGACTGCTTTGGGAAGAAGGTTACAGTTTATTGCAGAAAGATGGTTCTTCAGGGGAGGAGGAGAGGAGAGAAAGAGGAGAGAAGAAGAGAAGGGCAGAGAAGGGCAGGGCACATGGGGCAGTAGGCTTTTATACCCCCTCTAGCCTTGTTTGGAATAGTTTCCTGTTCCTGTGGCATGAACCTTGAGGCTGTTTCTGAGTGTTTGTCTAGGCCTTGATATCTGTGGTTTAATTCTATTATCATATCCTGCTTCCCAGGTGATGGGGCTGACTCCTAGAGTTTGGGTGGGGTATGCAGATCTTCTCCTTTGTCTTCTTGATTGCTCTGGCTCCAACTTTCTGATGGTTTTACATTTGCATTTGTATGGGCCTAGCTCTTGCTTGGGGCAGAGAGATAGATTTGGGGCCAGGTTTGCTTTTAAAAAGTCCTTTTGAGGAAAAATATATTTTTCTGCCCTTTTTAATATTTCTTCTCTGGGCTAACTTTCATTAGTATCTTCAATCGATTTGTATACTTGAGAAAAGGTGAACAATAAACAAATATAAGAAACCAAAATTACATCTCTATTTCAGTATTATTCTTATTTCCAAAGCTGCCTTGTTGGTTTAGAAAGCAACCATCATATAGACTGCTTCCTAGTGTCCTAGTGTACTATTGTACTATTGTTTTTTGTAAACTGTAACTATTAAGTTTTTTCCCCAGATATTGAAATTTCTATGATTTTCAATAATAGCTCCAACACATCAATAAAGAGAAAAGGCCTCAAAATAACACCAGTAATTTAAAGATAACTAGATATGAGCTTAAAAACTGCTGTAAAACCAACTGTAACTGTTGGATTAAAGTCTTCATCCTGGTTCATCCAAGCCCGGGATAAATAAGCAACATGGTGACTGCTTTGGGAAGGAGGTTACAGTTTATTGAAGAGGCAGAGAGATGGAAAGAGCAGAGGGAAGAAGGGCTGAGTGTTGAGTCCTTGGCAGAAAGCAGACACGAGAAGCAGTTGTAGTTCTCAGTTTTCTTTATTCTGTGTTCAGCTCACAAGTAGATAGCTTCAGCAGCTCCCAAAACCTCCCAGCTTCTTATATAGACATTTCCCGGGTCAATGCGATACTTTTCCCGCGCCAGCACCCGCGCATGCGCACGGCGCTGGCGACAGCCTGTCTGGTCCCGGGCAGCTTTGCACCTGCCCGGGACCGCCTGCAAATGCCCCGAGCCGTTTGCAAGGCTCGGGACATAACACCCCTTTCCCCCAGGCTAAAACTACTACCAACATATAATCATTATTTTATGCAGTGTTTTGCTTCTCAGTGCTCCTGCCGTTACCTGGCTTTTGTTTAGCCAGCAATGTTATGTAATCCTCTAAGTATTTAGGAGACTTCCTTGCTCTCTGTGACCTTCTCAGCTCTGGGTTTCTGACAGGTGTTCCCTGACTGAGGGGTGACAAGAGCCTGTTCCCCTTATCATGCCTTGGTGCCTTCCAAGGACTTTGCCCCAATGCCTGGCCTGCTTGCTCGCCCACCGGGCTCGTCAGGCCAGGGCTTCTGTCACTTTGTGACCTGGTTGACCTGCCTAGCTGTAGGCCCTCGGGCCCCTTGAAGTGATAGCCACTGCTGGGCGTCTCTATAGAACCTCCTAGGTCCGTCCAAGACCTGTCAGGAGGCTGTCCAATCCCTAAGCCCCGTTCTGTGTCCGGGCTCGTGTGGGTCTCTGTACCTTCCCAAAACTCCCTGATTTGGGCTAGAGGTGTTGCGGTCGGGACTTGGTTCCTCGACCACTTCCCTGTAAGTTTGACCCCCTGTAGGATTAGGGGTAAGGTCAGGCCAACTCTGGGGATTGTGTGCCAGCTCTCTTGCGGGGAATGATTTGTTGGGATGCTCCCGGGTATCCGCCGTGACTGGAGTGTTGTGTGATGTGTGTGGAAAGTGAGTATGCCCCCGGGATGACTCCCTGGCTGGAGTAGGCGTGAGTGCCTGTTGTGTGGGTAAGCTCCATGAATTCCTTTTCGGAGCACTTGCGGAAGCTTGAAATGGGCCGTCAGTGGCTCCATCAGTGGAGATGGGCAGCAACTCGTGCCCTTCCCTTTGCTCCAAAGGGTCCCCCTCCCCCCTGGAAAAGACCCAGGAGTCTCATCTGAAAGGTCCCGCCTAGGGCGAAGTTGGTCGATGTGCCGGCGCAGGACACGACCGTTGTCCAGGGCTACCTCGTAGGAGAGAGGACCTGTGACCTTGGAAATAGAAGCGGGGACCCATGTATGACCAGGCCCGTAATTGCGAGCCCAAACCGGGGCACCCACAAGTAGTTGTCTAGGTGCCCTAGGATGTGAGGTAGATGAAGGCAGTCTGTCCGGATGCAACCGGTCAAGTTTAGTAGTAAGTTGACGCCCCCAACGAAGTTCAGCTGGGCTTCTCCCTGTAGAAGTGGACGGTGTGGTGCGATAAGAAAGGAGAAAGTCAGCCAACCTGTGATGCCAGTCCCCGTAAGTGAGTCTTTTCAATGCGTCCTTCGTGATGCGCACCATACCTTCAGCCATACCGTTGGTGGACGGGTGGAAGGGTGCAGACGTGGCATGACGAATCATGTTAGCCTGTAAGAAAGCTTGGAATTTGGAGGAAGTGAATTGAGGGCCGTTGTCAGACACAATGACATCTGGAAGCCCGTGTGCAGCAAAAATCCCCCTCAGTACCTGAATAGTCTTTGCAGTGGTGGTGGATGAGACAGGTACAACCTCAAGCCATTTTGAATGGCTGTCAACAAGGACCAAGAAGAACTGGCCCTGAAAGGGCCCAGCGTAGTCAATGTGCACCCTAGACCATGGGGACTGTGTTTCCTCCCATCTATGCACGGGAGCTTGGGGCATCTCTGGGCAAGATCGTTGGCACAGGTGGCATGCATGCACCTTAGCCTCAATATCTTTATCTAAACCAGGCCACCACAAGTGGCTGCGCGCAAGAGCCTTCATACGAACAATGCCAGGATGACCCTCGTGGAGGGATTCTAAGACCCTAGTCCTCATTGAGGTGGGAATGACAACTCTGTTTCCCCAAAGCAGACAACCCTGAGAAAGGGACAGCTCGTTCCTTTTGGACCAGAAACTCTGAAACTCAGGACTAGGGCAGTGCTCAGGCCAACCAGACAAAACCCAGGAACGGACACGTGAAAGTGTGTGATCTGTACCTGTTTCAGCGGCAACATCCCTGGCACTAAGAGGGAGCTCGGGCAAGGCTTGGATTGATAGAATGTTGACAGCTGGCGCAGGGTCAGCTTCTACTACTGGCAGAGGCAATCTACTGAGGCCATCAGCATGGCCCATTTCTTTCCCAGGCTTGTGGAGTAAAGAAAAATCATATGCAGACAAAAAAATAGACCACCTAAGCATTCTGGGGGAAATGATCTGGGGAGTCTGCTTACGTGTGGTAAACAGTCCCAGCAGAGGCTTATGGTCAGTGAAGACCGTGAAATGCCTGCCACATAGAAAATCATGGAATTTTTTAATTCCAGCAACAACAGCCAGAGCCTCCCTGTCTATCTGAGCGTAGTTGCACTCAGCAGAAGACAATGTTCTGGAGTAATATCAACAGGAACCTGAGTTCCATCAGACCTGAGGTGACTCAGGACAGCTCCTACCCCGTGAGGGGACGCATCACAAGCGATGCACACAGGAAGGGAGTCGTTGAAATGTGCAAGTACACTGTTAGAAGTGAGCAAGGCCTTGACTTTGTTAAAACAAGCCTCATGTGTTTGTGACCAGTGCCACACTGCTTGCTTGTCTAGTAGCCTGTGAAGAGGCTCAGCCACACTGGCTTTATGTGGAAGGAAGGAATTGTAGAAATTCAGGAGGCCCAGGAAGGCCTGGAGTTCGGCCTTAGACTTTGGCCTAGGTGCTTCTAAAATAGCAGTTAGTTTGGATTCAGCAGGGTGAATCCCAGCAGCGTCAATTTTGAA